TGATTATTAAAACTTAAATAATTTTGGTCGAATCAAATGTTTCCACATAACGTTTTTTACTTTTATACATTCATGGTTATAAATATATATTTTTGGTACAGGAGACAAAGAAAAGAAATGTGTTTCAGGTGGGTTCCAAAATCAGCGAATACAACAATAATAAGAAATGGAATAAACATTTCAGTTAACTGCACCTAATTTTTATAAATCCAACAATGAATTTATCATTTTGTTACTCTCTCTTTTGTTCTAGAATGTTTGATTTAATTTCTTAGTGGTGGAACATGCGTGTGTAATGCCGTGGAGTCGTTGTTCATGAGTTCATCAGTTTTTTATACGTAATTATTTGGAGAATAAAGCAGCGCGTACGTAAAATCAATAATGGAAACGTTGATTAAAAAAAATTATTTGGACAGTAGTCTTGTTATCTCTCACCAAATTTATTCTTCTCCATTATATATTTCAAAAGTATGAAACTATGGGTGAAGATCGTTCTGATGAATAATGCCTAAAGACGTCTTCAATTCAAGGGGTTCACACCTCGCATTAGCTCTCATCTGTCTTTTGTGGAGAATCTATGAGACGAGAGTCAATATAGAACAGATCCGAGTGTCCAAAAAAATATAGACAACAATATACAGCTTTTTTTTTTCCCGACAAAGCATTAATTTGTTAGTTCTTCAGTATTGGTTAGCTAACATAATTTTTTAGGTTAATACTCTCTCCTATTATTAGATGTTTTTCGACTACATTCTTTAGGTTTTATGTATTGAAATTAATACTATGGTTAGATGAAGTGAAGCGCTTGGGATTTTCAATTAAGCTATGAATAATGACAGTCGTTTTTACTAATGAGTAATGAAGGAACGATCCTTTTTTTTTTTTTTACTTTCTTTTTCAAGGTTAGGTGGTATCCCGGAACACATGATCAAACAGTGATTTATGCGATAATTAAGGATCTAAGGATGATAATCTAGGATAAATATTAGTTGGAGGGTCCAAGTCTGAAACCTCTCAAGACCAACCGACAATAAATCTTGATTCATCATAACCTCTTATCTCCACCTCAGTATAATGTGTACCGGTTCAAGTAAAGTAAAAACTTGATCTATTCGCATGTTGCAGCGCAGCCAATTTTAATGACATCGAAGAACAGGTGTTGACATGGTTTTTCTCCTTGCTCGACATTTTACACCAAGCTAGCTTGGAATAAACAAGAAAGATTAATTACAAGGTCCCCACAACAAATACTGTATCTATTTATGGCTTGACGCATGATAGTATTCACTTTTTTTCATCGTTCACACAATAGTACTCTGTGATATTCCATGTATATATACGCTAAAAGATACATACTATATATAGTTGATTGCCATTGTTTTGATTTCTAGAGTGGTTTTATGATCCGAGCTATTAAATTTGGTTAGTTGAGGAATTTAAGGTATCACCGCCCTGACTACTAATTAATGAAATGTGTAAACATGAGAATTTATTGGGGCTGGGCTGGCCAATCCTGGTCAGTTCTATATTTATAATGAAGTTTGACTCATGAAGAAATGACAAAGACGACATTTTTGTTGAAGACGACATTTTTGTTGAAGATTATAAATGAATGCTTATCTTGGATCATAAATGCAATTTGATTATTAGTAACTTGTTCCAACAACATATGGATTTTTGTTCTGGTAAACAGCGAGGAAATAGGTTTTCAATTCTTTGGGTTGACGCAATATATAGAAGTTAGTCCCTTCTTAGTTCTTATGCATCCCGTCAATTAATTTCTTTCTCGTCTAAACAGTAGTATTAGGAATTCCAAATTAAACGACTTTTCCAAAAAAAAAAATTATGAAAAACAAACATTTATAGACGAACAAACTATATTAAAATTCCACAAAAACCGATGTTGTAAGTGATAAAATGAATGAGAAATTCTGAAAATATTAATAATGAATTAAATATTAATAAAAAAGTAATCGACACTTTGTCTTTTCGAATGTTAAAAAACAAATCAAATAAGAATATAAAACAAAAAGATAACAGTATAAGATTTAAGTAGCTTGAGAAATATATCTATTCTACAATTACATTAGGAGTTTTTATTAGATTTTTTCAATTAATAATTACAAATATAAGAGATAATATTTCTATTTATATCACAAACAACTAAATTTATTAAAATTTTAACGATACCATTGTGCTAATTCTGCATATCGATTAAATTACGGACTATATTTATATCAATTTTTATAACTTAACATCAAAGACATCTGATAAAATTGGAACGATACAAAGAAGATTAGTATAGCCCCTTGCATAGAATTAACACTCTCAAATTGAGAAATGGTCTAATTTTTTTCCGCTCATAACCTTTTTATTATATCAATCTAATCAAGAAGAAAAAAAAGAGCTGACACGTGATCAGATTATATGTAAATTATTATATGATTTATTGTTTTTTATAGTATTTAATTAAGGAAAATTTTATAATACACAAGGAGTAACTAGTGGCATGTACGGTAGTTACTCATTGTATCCACTTTGAGGAGAGAGGTAGACACATAAAAAAAGAGAAAAACTACATCTATACCCACTAAAAGTGATAATAAGATTTTCACGTTTGCTCAAATTTTTTTATTTTCTCTCTCCTATTTTTCTCTCTCTTTTTTTGTGTGTTTATCTCTCTCCTCAAAGTAGATCCAAGGAGTAACTACTCGTATATGTCACTAGTTACTCCATGTGTATTATAAAATTTTTCTTTAACTAATCCCTTTGGCGTATTTAATACCTTCCAGCCAAAAAAAAAAAAAAGGAAAGTAGAACGTTTTGTAGACATTACTATGTAAAAAGCTTGTTATTTGGTCCAAAATTATTGTCATAACTAATAATAATTAAGCTATATTCCATTCTCATGAAAGTGGAAAGGCATTATTAACTGATGAGAAACAATCAAGAGCATTTTCTTGCGTCTAAAATCAGCTGATCAGTGACTTCACAAATCACCATCCAGCCATTCAATATGTAGACTAGTATAAGGACTCTAGACATTATCTGTCAAGTTTGATTTCGACATCACGCTGCCCCTTTTACCAGGCTAGCTATGTATTCACATCAATTGAGTTTAGTATTGACACGCGAAATAATTTCGATAGGTGATCTCAATTAAGCATTTTTCTTAAAATATTCTAGTATTTTGTAAGTATTCATGACTCTGTACTCTTATGTAAAATTAAATAATATGCAATGATTGACGATCACATTAAAATTTATATAATCTAAATATTTAATAAATTAAAAATAATACATTTAAACAAAATAAAAATTTACATTTAATATGATATATATTATTTAATTTGAGTGAATAAAATATAAAATAGTGGTTATGTGTAACAAAGTGCTGAAGTATTTTCCATTTTGATCTATTTTAGCTAGAAGAGACGCGAACACATCATGCATGAAACATTAATAAATAAAAAAATTTATCTACTATTCTTGCCCCTTGAAGACTGTACATACATTTTATGATATGACGGTCCATATATGACTTGGCTTTTATATATGTATGTATGTTTTTTCTTTCTTTTTTTCTACAAATGAGAAAAGTAAGTATAGCTACGAACAGAGAAAGTTTGTCATTATAGTGAAAATGGATACATGATTTGGAGTGGTTAACAATTTAGCATTTTGACCTTAAAAATTTTGATGTCGCTTTTCTTTTTGAGGTGATGTGAAGTGGGGAAGTACCCAAAGTAGCTACATTATGATCAACGCTTTTTAAAAATAAAAAATATTCTGCCGTTGGCGTAGAACACAAAAAATGTTAAGAGAAAAAGAGATCTGGTGTGTCTTGCGATGCCGACGATATGTTCTTTTGCTTAGAAATCAAAACACAAATGTGGGGGGCACGTGACCTGATTGAAGTGGAAAAAGTTAAGAGCTTGGTACGTGTTCCATGTCTTATTGCTGTAGATTAGGGACCCTTATCAAGTGAGTTTCATGTTGGTTAGCCAGGCAGCTAGACAGCTTGATGCATGCGTGCTATTTACTGCATCGATCCACATGCTATGAGAGAATTTCTGTTCATAAATTAATTAGTTTGCTTGACAATTACCAAGGAGTTTCTCTGTCATGAAATATGTGAGAGTTAATCGTAGTTTACAGCCTGTGGAGATAACGTATATGTTAAAAAAACACGCGGATGTAAAAGAAAGTTGAATTAAGTTACAGAAATATTCACCATTAATTAAATTAAATCATCCTAATTACTTCTTATGAGAAATTATATACTATTAGGTATAAATTAATCCGATCTATTGTTCATATAAAGTTCCATAGCTATTGTTAATTAGGCCCATTATACTGTTAATGCATGAATATATTTAATTACTTTGGAATTTCTGTTTCTTTAACTTGTGGGATATGTCACACACATATGGAAATTCTTCGTAAGTAATTGGGTAGCTCCCATATGCTACACTTCTTAGGGGGAGGGCCATGACCATCCTCCCACTTTATGGGATGAAGAGACATACACGGGTTTGAAATACCTTTGAATGTGGAGCACATGCATCCACCACTAGCCAGCGTTTTCAGTGCTTCAACAGTAGCAAAATGAAAATAAAAGATCAAAACAAGAAATCTGTCAAGTGCAAGTTTGACAAGGAACTCATGAAGAAACAATATCATACATATATATTAGAAAATTAGGTCCCAATATATAAGCTTCTTTAATCTGATTCAACAATTAGCACAAATCATCAATCTCCTTTTGATCTTTCTTTTCAATGGTTTCCCTTCCATTTCTCCTAACATTACATGTATAAGAAAGACCCATCAATATCAGTCCGTTTTCAAAGGTTTCACTGGTCAACATAACCGAAATTCATCATGACACATATCTACCAAAGCTAATATAGTTACTTTATTGAAAACTTTCTTAATGAGTATGTTTTTCAATGTCTGATGCCAGCCCCATCTTGAGGGCATAAGTTTGGCATAGTTGATCATGTCCAAAGAGGTTCCCATGATGTGCCCAAGTTGTTCTCGTCAAGAAAGCAGCTTGTATCAACGTGTTGATGTTGTTGCAAGATGGGTTCTTGTTGAGACTGTGTCATTTCCATGCAAAGTAGAGCAACTAAATTGGCTTGTTGGCATTGCATGTTCACTACCTCAGCTTGTGCCTTAGCCAGTTGTGCTTGGAGATCATTAACTTGTTTTTGAAGATGAGAAATGGCACCAGCACAGCCATAAACTGGGTCTCTGATCCTAGCATTGGCTTCATAAACCATGCTGCTTACTGCATCTGCTCTCTTAGACTCTGGAAGTTCCTGCAATTTTTCACATTGGCGACAGTACTATCAGTTTCCAGAAATAAATCTTGAAAGTGGTTCATGCAATATTTTAAACAAGAATTTGATGTGATTCTTAACATGACAATATGTTGACCTTACCTAGGCTTGAGTGTTAGAGGTTCTAGTTGTTTAAATAAATAGTCTATATTCGAGTTTTTATATATATAAAAAGCTTTTTGGGTAGTTGTCTCTGTATCTAGTGGCCTCAACAGAACACGGATAGATTAGTATGAATTTTTAAACTTAAAACACTATAAAAAGATAAAATATATATGTATATATTGAACTTGAAATGAAATTTCAAACTTGCCCTTTGGATGGGTTTCAACTTCCTTGCCCATGGGATGGGGATTGAATTGGTGATATATGCATATTGCACCCATGTGCAAGTTATGGTGTGGAATGACTTCTCTAACTATAAACAATTGTGGTGGGAGGAGGTAGCTAGCACATCAATTGACCATTAACATGGACACCTTTTTCTGGTTTTGACTTCTTTATGCAATATGCTTTAATGGGCTCTCCAAACTTGTAACCAATTGGCCATTTTGTTTCTTTTTTTTTTTTTTTTTTTTCTGTCAGGAAATAGCAATTCCCCAATTCAATCTCATGATCTTTTTTCCATAAAGCAGGTGTAGCTACGCTGCAGCTAGCTACTTTGCTTTATTTAGAGAAAGCTAAAAATGGTTGGAGATAAAAAGTTAAAACCATATAAAAATCTAAAGGCTACCTGTCCATCAAATGTCCATTATTGAACTTTTTCTTTAAAAAAAATCTTAGCAGTTGAGGAAAAAATCATTTTTGGGTGAAATTGTTTCAAGTCAAATCTGAAGTACTGCATTGTGTTGATACAATTCTGTCGTAATTGGACAAAAAAAGGATGAAAAGACATTAAAACAAACTTCTCTTAATGTTCAAATCTCTTAAATTCAAAAATTGTGGGGGAAGGGTACTTGTCTTATAAGGAAAATTGATGTAACTAAATAATGTCTTATGGTATATACCTGCAAAAACTTGATGATGTTGCTAGCTCCGAAGACCCTATGAGCAATGGTGAACTTATATGGTTCGGTAGGAGGAAAATAAGGAGCTAAAACACACTTGTCAACGCATCGCCGGCGAAGGATTTTGCAGGCAGCACAAGGGCTAATAACAACTGGAGGAGGAGGGGGCGTGGCCGCTGAAGGTGGAGCAAGACTTTGAGAAGACTTTGAACGAGAAGTGAAAGTACTCGGAGAGGAATGGTGAGAAGAAGGTGGTGAAGAAGAAGAAGATGGAGAGTAGGAGAATTGAGAAGAAACATTGATTGGATTTATAACTGCAGATTGCTCCATCACATCCATATTTGATCAGAGAGAGATGGAGAAGGGAAATGGAGGGAAGAGGAGCTAGCTAAGCGCTGCTGCTTTGTGAGTATAGTTTAGCAGACCAAAAGGAGGGAATATATATAGAGAAAGAAAGCATTTATTTTAATGGTGTCAGCTTATGTCATTAATCCACTAATGATGTCATAGTTTGAAATCTCTTAGTAAATGGTTGCGGGTTTTCCTTTTTGGCCCTTTTCCTTAATCATCAAAAACTTTCCCTCACTATGTTTTTGTTGACTTGTTTAACTCCGAAAAATTTCTGGAATATCCAAATTCCACACTGATTTTTTTTTTTTCCATTTATTGGGCACGAAACAACAATTGGCCTAAATCAGAAACCAAAATATCTGTACAATGAAAAACCATTAAATATGCAACATGTTTTTTTTTCTTTTTCTTTTATTGCAAGCAAGAAGAATGGAGTCAAAGGTTAAGCGTGTGGCCTTTGATTGGTCCTATAAGAACATGAAATTTTTTGGTGTTAAAAATCAAAAAAGGAAGGTAGACTATTCCGACGAACACTTGATAAAAATCCATACATTATGTTTATAATTTTCATAATATCTACAGAGATGCTACGGTATTTATAATGTTATAGCCGAAACATAAAAGATAATTCTACGAATAAAGCCACAAAACATCGAGCTCTCTGGTCACTATCACTGCTTATGATAGGACCCCCAAACCATACAGTAGTTTTTTTTATAAGAATCGAGATGAAATTCTTAGGCAGCTGTTAGCCATCAAGACGTACAGTGGCTGATACTGAGCAAACAAAATGAAAAATACTACAACCAGGCTAATATTTCAGCTACAACATTCCCTCCCCTAGCAACATGCACAGAACTGACCGACAACAGCTGATTGACCAAAACAGAAGTGGAACTAAAGACGTTACTATGCTCGAATCCAAACAGTAGTTGGCTGTATAAAAATGTGACAAACGTTGGATATTGACGTTGTAATCTGTCTTGTTTTTAAGAATGAAGTTGTAACGATGTCTTTAGTTGGAAGGCAATTTTGACAAGGCAGGACAGCCGAGGAAGAGTCGTATAATTACAGTACTGACAAAATTCAGAAAATCTTCTTTTCTATGAATTATCAAGTTTCTAGTAGCACGCTAAAGCTTACTTCGACACGTAATTTTGGTTGTAACAAACAAATTAGTACAAAATTCAGAAAAATTTCTTTTCTATGAATTATTAAATTTCTAGCTAGTAGCATGCTGCTTACTTCAACACATAATTTTGGTTGTAAGGTAACAAACAAAATTAGTTATGCCTAACCTTGATTTCTCTTTTTTTTTTTTGTTAGTAATTCTGGTAATAATTTATATATATATTGCATTTTCTACAAAGAAAATTAATGGATTTTTGAGCCGGTCTTCATAGTTTTCCGTCAATGTGAAAACTATAATTAAGGGAAAAAGATATTAGCTTTTTTCATAGTCTATACAAGATGAGAAGAAATATTTGACTCTAGATTTGAGTTATATGAAAACCTTCTTCAGGAAACTGTAGATGACATCAGAGAGCCAGATGATAACAGGATAACTTGGACTTCAATAGAAGTGTGGGGCAAAGAATTAGTTTTAATTAGTCCAAAAGGTCTACTAAAACACGATTATGCCGAAAACTAATTGATTAAGATAGTACTAGTGTACCTTGATCACTCAGTTAGTACGTAGATTAATTTCTTCACCCAAAAAAAGGAATGCAATCTTTCCAAGTTAGAAAATCTCATCTTTTTATGATTTGTACATTTTTAGAACCTTTTTAACATATGACTGTACAATGAAATTTAAATATTAATAAGAGTTATTTAATATAAAATTATTCTCGAGGTTTCGTCTAATTAATAATTTAGTTTTAAAATGAAACGATTCAATGAATTAGGAGCTCGAATCCTACCGTTTCCATTTCACAATCCAACAAAAAAAAATCCCATCATAACCTAAAATCTTCCCATTTGCACTATTGCTCAGCAAATTACTGTGGTTTGAAATATTTTGTTTCCAAACTGATTTGGAAAAATATGGATAGAAAAAAAAAGCCTCACATTCTCCTTGGCTGCAGAGTTTGACTGTTCTACAATAAACTTGGATTCTTTCTGGTAACTCTCTATCATTGCTAAATCGTTCAAATTTTAGTAGGTATTGGTCATTACTTACTCCATACCAGTACTAGTCCTATCATATATATCTATCAGGACTTGGGGGACAAAATTGTTTTGGTTTCAAGGCTGATGCTAATACAGTGCGGCCATGTCCAGCATTAGTCTTACATTAGTTATAATTCTAGGGATAAAATAACTACTTTCTGTTATGTTAACAAAATATCACTTTCATGCCTTTGTTCCAGTTATCAGAACCACACATTTGTCCAATTTCCTGAACTCGTAGTAATGTTTTTGTTGTTGATGTTGGTAAATTAATAAAATATAAGTGAGTTTGGTCATTTTGGTACCAACTTGTTAAATCACTTACCAATAGACTTTGTTACAGAATCTCAAGGCTTATGAAATAACAGTATTTTTGGCCTCTCTCCACTTGTCTGAATAATGAATGCATATATTAATTTACAATACTACAGAAATAATCGCATCTACAGATCTATTCATAGATAGGCACTAACACACATGCATCTACCAGCCCTTTTTTTTTTTTTTTTTTTTTAAGATAATGTGGTATTTCAGATCATCTTTTGCATTAACCAAAACTAAACCTATTACTTTCTTGACTAAATTAATATTATATCACACTATTTTTTGATTGATTCTAAGAGTCAATTTCTTTGAATTCATTTCCAGTCCATGTTTAACTTCATAAAAAAGAAAAAAGAAAAAAAGAGTTCTTCAAGAATGAAAACCAAATGGTTTATTTTAATCTAATAAAAGAATATATCTTGAAATCTGGTATTTTTATAGTTAAAGAAGTATGAATATTAAAAAAAAAGAATTAAAATCCGATAAAAAAGCATTAAAGAAAAAAATAAATAAACACAACAACTCAGTTGTGCAATATATTTGACTTGTGCTATTTGGCCTCTTATGGTGCTACTTTTCTTTTATCCACGTTCTTGTTAATTTCTTGCAAGTCCCATTTCTCAGGGCAAGTCCTCTAACACTGCCAGAGTGACAAAAAATATGAAGTCTGAACTACAAAGAGAATGCCACCTGGCCGATCTTGCCATCCAAATTAACTCATCGGATGCCGACTTTTTACCGATGAATTATGACTTGTATCAATGTTGATTGCTGCCCCAACCGAGACAGCAGCATATTCTATATATCTATGCAACCCCAACTACTTAACTGCGTAAAGTGGCGATTAATAGAAAATGACTTAAAGATTTAAGAGTACAAAAGATGGAGCCCTACGGTCCTATGGTCCATGGTGGGTCACTAGTTCGGTGAGGAACCGATGGCTCGTGGGGGAGCAAGAAAACGAGAGAGAGAGAGAGAGAGAGAGGAAAGAGGAATCCTTATCATCTTCATTTTGATATAAAAAGTCCCCTAGCTAGAATGTGACCTTTTAAAAGAGACTTTTGTTTTCTCGTAGTATAATTTCTACGCTCCAATGCCATTCTTTCTTCAAGTTAGAAATTTTTGGGTCTTCAACATGGTTTGTAGTGCGAAGTAGTTGGATAGTATTTTTCTTGCCTATTCTTAATTTCAATGTGGTGCCTTTGTTAGGTTTCTCCTCTTTTAGTCTTTTAGTCACTGATATTAATTTTAAACTACTTAGAGTCATTATAAAAATAGACCTAGAAAAAAGAAGATTATTATATCTAACTGTTAATTAATTTTTATATTTATAATTATTACCGTCCTTTTGTTTTGTGGCTAAATGGCATTCTTGAATTAATTTCTGTGTCTTTAGATTAGATGAAATCTTCCTTTTCAACTCAATAAAAAATATAATATTCATATGAAAATTAGACAGGTCATAGATATGTGAATTAACATTAACGAATATACGCGTAATGAATCTATGTATTTACGAATAATGTGATATCAATTTCAAGCAAAAGCTCCATAAACATTTTGATACAGATATTTAAACATATCTAGAGCCCATTGCAATGAGTCAAATCTTTTAGAATTTTTTCAATTTCAATGTTGATTCTTTTATCAGACAAAAAAAAAAAAAAATAGATTTAACAAGTTAAATAGATTAAACTTCTATTGAACTTTATGCCAAAAAGATAATCTCATCAAAAAATTTAAATTCTTAAATAAGATCTTAAAATATGATTTATTCGATTTTAAAAGTATAAATTGTTTGAAATCTTCTATTTAAGACCAATTTATATACATAAAAAATAACTGACTAGTGGTCAGTTTCGAATAAAAAAAAACTAGAACGTACAATTGCAACTAGAAAATAAATACGGCAAACCACTAATTTAGTCTACTCTCAAGTTTTCTAATTCGAAATGATGTTACACATATATGTATATGCTTCACGGTGCCGCGCTGGAAGTTCTTCAGTGGATAGATTTCTCAACTTCTCTTGTCATATTCGAGACAGACAGCAAGTCTTTTGCGTGTGGACCACAACCAAGTACTATAAAGAAATTTGAATTATTACCCTCCAATTGAATAGAAAGGTAAAAAAAAGGTGAACTGATGTTAAACTTAATTATTAACCATGATTGACATAAGTCATAATCTTCTGATAAGTGAGAACATTTCTTTAATTTTTCATTAATTTTGTGTAACCTAATACTCATGTCAATTTCTCCTAAAGTCAACAAAGTACATAATATATTTAGCCACCAATATACTCAAATTCATTTTTCGCACCCAAAATCATGCTACAATTATTTAACCTCCACTACCATATTGAACGTTTGTCATTTTTATTACAGGAGATCAAGAATGCTTCGACAATATAATGAGCATCTGGAATTACGTAGTAGCCTGATTAATTGAATCAATGTGAGTCACATTCGTAAACATTATTTAAAGGAGGAAAAAAAAAACATAAATTTCGTACGCAATTTGTCTGGCTCAGGGCGTGGAGGTATGATGTTACGAGGAAGAAAAACAAGGGTTTGGCAGTTCACGTTTTACGAACATGAAGACAAGAGATGAAGGAAAAATAGGCTATAATATGAGAATAAATGGTAAGACTAAAAAGAAAAATTAAGAAAAATGTTTAAAACGGCATAGATTGCAACTAGTCGGTACATAGAAAAGTCTTGATCGTCATTTGACTCTTCCACAATACTATATAGGACTGGATTCTTCTACTTATCACACAATATTTTTGATAAATTATTTTCTACACCTTTTTATCTAAGGAAAAATAATTAAATTTTATTAAGAAACACAAGCAAAATGCTTTTGCTTCGTATGTGGTACTTGTAATGCCACCCCCCGACAAATTATTAGACCAAAGAAACAATTATTTTGCTGGTTGGGGGCTGTGCATACTTTCTAAAAATAGTAAAGTTCTAATGCAAGTAGTACTAGTATTTTAAATTCCCAAATAGTCCCAAGATTTAAAAGATTGGATTAGAAAAATGCATTTATAATGAAGTTTAATAATCAAAAATAGAATTTTAAAAAGATTGGTTAATAGACAGTATTCAAATAAAGATCTTATTTCCTTTTCGATTACAGCCTTCGCATGCATCTAATGTTTTTTGTAACCAAAAAAAAAAAAATCTTAATGATCTTTCAAATTAGAATTAATTGGATTTTTTTTCTTTTTCTTTTCAACGCGTTGGCTCTGATGATAATTGTATGTGTGTTATTTACATTATCTTAAGCAGCTTGAATCTAAAACGAAGGTGCTAAAAAAAAAAAGAAAAAAATTAGTGAAATTTAAATCAAATATTCTAACTAACGATATAGATATAATGGCTAACAATTCCTTATTCGGAATATGACCAACCCATGATCAAGGCATCGTTTTAGTACATAAAAATTGTCCAATGTTATGTGATCATGAAACAATAATTAATACAAAAAAATGAAAAACTTTATCGTATTTAAAGAGTAATTAACAATATTTATCCTATAAAAAGATAAAGAGAAATTTCAGGAAAAAAATTAAATTTAGATAGAAATATTCTTATCATTTTTACTAAATAAGTATTTATTTTATTTTATTTTATTGTATCATTTTTTTTTTTTCAAGATCCTAAATCAATTATTGGATTGAATATTTTAAAATTTTTTAACAAAAAAAAAAAAAAAAGAGTAAATCTCAATATGAATTATAATAAGATGTCAATCTCTTTATCTAAAATCTATAAACTATGTATGCATATCAACATCATGCTTGCCCATGAGTGGATGATTTAACATGGAATGTTAAGCAGATAACCAAACATTCCCATAATTAAGCAGTTGAGTGCAGCTCATTGGAATAATTAATTACCTCTTAAGCAATATCGACAAATTGGATTGCACTACGTGGCAAATCTCTAAACCAAAAATGTGATCGCACTTCGATTGAAAAGCAGGATTTTACTAGTCATTTTTTTTGAAAACTGGTTTCCATTAAACTTAGTTTTAACCCAACTAAGGTCCACGCGTCATTGCTTAGTTAGACTAGTTTTTGTAGGACTTGATGTCACACGGTTTCTTCCTTTATTTTTATTTTCTTGCTCTATTTCAAATTAATGACCTTTTAGAACAAGAGATGTAAAGGTTAGGGCACCCATTTGAAGAAACTCAATAAATAGTTTTGTTTACTCTCTTAAAACAGTTCAAAAGTTAGCCAAAAGTTGCAATCAGTTGGACAATTTGGATAGCGAGTGTGGTCTAATTAATTAGCCGATAGGAAGTAAACTGATTTTTTTTGTTTCGCTTCGTTTTGTTTTGGTTTGGTATAGGTGTAAACTGAGTTAAGTTATGGAGAAAAGTTAGAGAATTTGAAGTTAATACATCGATTGTAAAATAGTCTTCAGTTTGGAAGAAAATTCTTTATAACAAAAACCCACAACTAGACCAAGCTATTTAGAAAGGTCAACAAATGTGTTCTGGAAATTGCATTTTAAGTAAAGAATTTTCTGGTAGTAATATTTTCTATAATTTGATCACAGAGTCATATAATGATGAACGAATAGAAAACAGCTGCATCAAAAAAAACAAAAAAAAATCCATTTGTTTGGCGAAGAAAAAACTCAGTCTTAACTATGTTGACGCAAGCTTGATCACATAATTTCTTCATAAGACAAAATTTTTCTACTAGTTACTATTTCTTAATCAGCAGTATGTGTATATCATTGTTATTTTAGGCCTTTGCTAGAAAATGTGAATGCTTAAGCATGAAACATGTCAATCATGGTAAGGTTGGATGCCACTTCTCCTACCCCAACTCACAAGGGTCAAGTCCCAACTTGTAAGAATGCCTATCTATTTAAAATCCAGGACCTGAATTGGTTTCATACTGGAGGTTTATGGGTTTTATGGGCTAGTAAAGAAACTGAACTAGTACATAATGACAAAACCCTATTGTTTGAATCCTCTGACCTAAATGTTTCCTCGCAATTCTGAGACATGGATCAATCTAGTTGATTATGTAAGGATGAACATCCTCATTAATTGCTAATTAAACAGAAAATCAAAGCAATCAGAAAGCACTAACTCATTGCAGCTAAAAAGCAGTAAATCCTCCAAAGTGATATGGAGGGAAAAGGTGGCGCACTTTGGAAACATCAGATATTCACTTAAAATGACATTATCTTTTTAGAAAAAAACAGTTGGAGGTGGTGACTTTAGCGTCCTTGATCTTTTGAAAAAGTCTTGATTCTCACACCTTAGACGAACAACTGACAAAATTAAGATACAAGGCATGTAACCCTTCGTCAGGGACAAAAGCTCCACTAATCCGAAGTCATGCAATAAATTAACATTTCTTTTTTAACGTAACTATTTCTGTTTGTCAACAAATTCTAGCGTACTAGTAAGACCTCAAATTTTTTATAGTGATAAAAAAAGAGGAGCAAATGAGCAACCATGTTTACACTTACTCAGCAAAGCCAATTCGTTCGCATTGCTGCTCCTTGAAATTCAAGCAAAAAGGAAAACCACCATGAAAATTAATTAAAAATAAAGTATCGAAAACATTCTGCCATTAAGTGGATGAGAAAAAGGAAAAAAATAGCAAAGCTGTCTAAACGACTCTAACGATTAGCCATTACTTAACAATAGATTGTCGTAAACAGGGAAATCTGACGTTCAAATCCCAGTATCCATGGAAAGGATATGCAGATTCAAATTGCATAGCTTAGGAATCCAACAGAAGCTAGTGGAGTTTACTTCGATCTACAAACTGAAGCTCTTCTTCAGTTCTAACTGTCATGCACGCAAAAGCATGCTTGTCTTGAATGCTAAACCAATTGAAGTACAAAAATTATTACATGAAAATGAACAATGCTATCAAACTATAAGAAAGTACAATCCAAAATGATCCCAGCATTAGGAAGGTGAGATTTTATCGCACTGTTTTATGCAGCAATTGTGCCCATGTGGAAAGAGAACACAAGTGATCATCGTTATCGTATTACAAAATGCACAACTCAAAATCTTCGTTCTATAATATATACAAAAGAGAAGGAGCAAAGACTGCAGAATTAGAAATATCAGGTCTTTTGAGGAACAAAAGCATGCTGTAATTTGGTAGGGGCGCAACTCTCCTCTTTTGAGGTTGGTGTATGTTCCCCTTCTTTGGCTTTCAGAAGGCAGACTCTAATCCTTTACAATGTTTCTTAACCACAGCAGAAGACCCTTCTTGAACTTTTTTGCTAGAAATTTATTTCTTCAAGTTGTTTAAAATGAAGAAACTTGATCCAAAAAATTACTGAAACTCAGCTTTGAGTTTAAATCCTGATGAATCTGATCCAAAAATGATGACGAGCCCTTCTCTAAATCAACACTTTCCAGAACAATGCCAATAAAAAGTCACTACGATAACGCTCTTTTTGATATGCTTTTTCTCCTCCTAAGAAGCCCATCCATCAGATCCATGTAAGCAGATTTAAGTAAGGTGACGTTTTTTTGAGCTGATTCATGGAAAATTTTCATTGCATCCTTGTATCTCCCTTCAGAACAAAGCTCATTAATCTGGTTGGAATAAGCAATCGCATTTGGATGAGATTCCTGAGGAATCTCAATGCTCCTCACATCCTGCATCTTTCCCAATTCTAAGAACTGATCCTCCGATTTTCCTTTCTCTGCAAATTTTGATACAAACTCCTCTGCATCCTTAAACCTTCCAGCATCAGTAAGTCCAATGAGAATGGCATTATATGTATAAGAATCAGGCCCTAGTTTCTTTTCCTCCATTTCTGCAAGTAAATCAAAGGCTTCCTCAAATCTCCTTTCTTTGCAAAGAGCTGAAATTATTGTGTTGTATGAAATGACATCAACATCTTTGCCCTTTGAAATCCATGTGTTGAAGAGCTTAAGAGCTTTTTCAAGCATACCTTCTTTGCAAAGCCCACTAAGAAGAATATTACAAGTGAATACATCTGGCTTAAAGTTATTCTCAACCATTTTGTTGTGGAACTGAAATGCTTTCTCAATTTGACCACCCCGGCAATATCCTTGAATAATCGTGTTGTATGTAATTTCATCAGGGAACAAACCACTCTCCAGAAGTTCATTCAGTTTGTCTATTGCTTGATCAGTTTTTCCCATTTGGCATAAGCCTGCAATCATAGAGTTATAGGTGATAGTATTTGGAATGATCTCTTTCTCCTTCATCTCATCCCAAAGCTTCAAAGCTTCACCTGCCCTTTCATACTTAAAATATCCTGTGATCAATGTGCCATAACTAACCTCATCCACAAAATAGCCTCTCCTACGAGCACTACAAAGCAAGTCGTGCGCCTCATCAAGCTTCCTCTCCCCACAGAGGGCATGAAGCATAGTATTAAGAGTGAAATTATCCATCTTCAAACCTTTACTCCCCATTTCGTCCATCAATTTGAATGCTTCATCCATCTTCCCCACCTTACAATGCCAACTTATCAAAGTATTGTAAGTAACAGCATCTGGCAAACACCCACTTTCTTCCATCTTCCTAACGGTCTTATGCGCTTCATCTATCTTCCCTTCCCTCAAAAACAACTTAACCATCACATTATATGTAACTAAACTCGGCTTCACTCCTCTCTTTTCCATCTCCTCAACCAATTTAAACCCCTCCTCACTACTCTCACATTCAAAACACCCATTAATCAAAGTATTATATGTTACCACATCAGGTGAGAGCTTCAAATTCTCCATCTCGTCCCTCAACCTGAACGCTTCATCAATCCTACCGTGTTTACATAACCCACCAATCATCACATTATAAGTCCAAACATCTGGCATCACATTATTCTGCGACATTAATTCAATGATCTTCGCTGCCTCCTTTAACCATCCTAACCTACAATACCCCAAAACCAATGTATTATACGTAGTCCTATTCGGCAACAACCCTTTATTTTTCATATCCAACAACAAATCCCTAGCGTCATTTAACCTCCCTTTCTTACACAAACCATCCAAAATTGTATTATAAGTAACATTATCTGGCGGACATCCAAAATCCCCCATTTTACCTAACGCCCTTATCGCTTCACCAAACTTGTCCTCCATGCAAGACCCATAAATCAAAATATTAAAACTATTCGTATTAATCTTAACACCAATCTTAATAAAATCAGAAAAAACAGCTTTAGACAGTCTAATCGAATGCGAAGACGGGTATCTCACCAAAGCATTCAATAAAGTATTGCAAGTTAGCAACGTAGGCCGCATACCCAATCTCTTCATTTTGTTAAAAATCTGCGCAGCTTGATGGGGCCTACCGCACGCGGCATAAGCTCCAATGGAAACATCGAGAAGAGGCTTCGAAATGCGTAAATGGGAAATGGAGTGATCGATTTTTGGGGGATGGAGGAGGAGGCGATGAAGGGAGCTGGATTTGTCGACGGAGATGAAGGAGGAAAGAAGGGATCTGGCAGTGTTGAAATGGCGGCACCGAAGAACAGAAGGGAGAAAATAGAGTAGAGGAAGAGGTGAGTTGTGAGTAATTGAAGGAGGGAGGTATTTAAAAAACTGAAGGAGATTGTTAGGGTTTTGAATTAGAGTTTCTGAATTGAGCAGAGAGATTAAGAGGTTAGGGTTTGTGGAGAGGAGGGGTATGTACGGGTTTACGGATTCAAGGGAGAGATTTTCTGAAGTTAGGATTTTTGTTAGGGTTTCTAATAAGTCTTGTTCTGTTTGTGGTTTAGGGTTTTGGGGATTTCGTGATGGTGTCTCCATTGCTGAAAAGTTTCAAGCTTTGATTAGAGACTTTCAGGAGTTTGCCGTCCAGGGGTTTCAAGCAAGACTGAAGAAGTTTAATGCATAAAGCAGGGCGGAGAACCAAAGAAGAGATGGAAATGGTTCAAACGAGTTGGGTCAGAATTTTGTCCCGCCCACCTCTAAACTTAAATGGGCCGGGTTTTGTCTAACTTTTGAGAAACGTTCGGGTGGGCTGGTATTAGCGAATTGGGCCTAAAATTCTTTTCTTTTCGTTGAGAAGCCTGACAAACTTCCAAAAAAAGGTTTCATGATGTTGTACTTGTTGTGCAATGCTATAGTATAAATCCTTAATAAGTCTGTAATTTATTTTTATATTTATAATAAATCTATTAAATATGACAATTTTTCAATTTTTTTTTATATTTCTAATGAATCTTTTGATTTTGGACTGAGATCGTATTTTATCAAAAGATCCTATAATCACTATTTCAAATATAATATACATATTCATAATCGAACTAAGAAAGAAGCTGAATAATAATATTTTTCGAATTGGATATTAGTTTTCGATGTGTAAAGAGGTAAAAATTAATACTCTTATCCCTAGCTTGTGCCTTTAAATCTCTCTCTTTATATATATTTCACAAATTTGAAAATAAACTTAGAATATAATTTGGCAAATTAGATTTTTAGGAGATATATTTTTCGAACTAAACTAGACATTACAAATTTTTTTATTTCAAAAACGGTGCGAATGATTGATATATTTTAAAAATTATAACTAATTCTTTACCTGCAATCTTTGAATCTAATATTTTTTTTAAGATTTTTTATTTCCTTTAATATTATGTGACGTTTCAAAATATTTCTAACTTTTATCGCCTGAACCAAAATAAAATAAAAACAAATAATTTTCATAATTTTTGAAGTGGATAAAAAGTGAACCATCCATGACATGACCACACTTTAACATAAATTAATATTTTCCGCGAGTTGTTTTTCTTCTCATGCAACTAACCCCTGTCTTTGCTTCTGCTTCACCTCTCTCACCTCTAGTTGCATTTTTTTCCAAGTATTGGCTGCATATAAATATTATTAAGTTAATATCAATGTTCATTTATATTAACAATCAAATAATAAAAAAATATATACAGACCAACCTCGAAAAACAAAGCCAACACCATGATCGAATTGAATAAACTTTTGAGTAGTTACCATCTTGTTCCATATGCTAACCAAATAAATAATAACGCATTTCAGATTTGCAAATTACCGAATCAACAAAAAAAAAACTAGTCAATTTCAAAATATACCCTTGGTTATGGCTAAGACACTTCAGCAACAACAATTTTCTTGCCATTTTTCATTAATGTATTTGCATCTAAAGGACTAGAATTATTAGCAACAACAAATCTCCTTGTTGATTTCTTTTTGGTATTTTCATATAGAGAAACAGTTTCAGCAACAACAACAAACCTGCTTGTTGATTTCTTTCTAGTATTTGCATATGTAGGACGAGCTTCAACGCTAACAACAAATCTCTTTCTAATGCTTGCATTTGAATGACTAGCTTCATCATCAAACAACAATTATATTTTAATTTTTTTTTAGTACTTACATTTGAAGGATCAGTTTCAAACCTCTATCTGTATTAATAGAAAACCTCTTCAATGCACTCCTATCAAACCTAAAAAATTCACACATACATTTCTATTAGCAAATATCAAACTTATCTTAAAACATATATTTTTCATATATTGTTTAGTGTCAAGCTTTTATATTCTAAATTTTATAACCCCAATAATCTCATCATTAGAATTAGCTGGGAACTCTAATTCATTATTTTTATCCATATTAGATCGTCGTAAGTGAAAAAATTAATAGATATTATTGAAAAATGAACGAGAAAAAAATATTTTTTGTAAGTAATATTAATGAAAAAATGATTAGTTTTTTTTTAAAAAATGACCAATCAATTCGTTTCTAAAAACTAAAGGGATTATTTATAATTTGCTCATCTAAATCGAGTGAGACGGGTTCCTATTATTGAAGACGACATCGTTTAGGCTCATAAGCAACCGCCCCAAACCACCCACTCCTTTATTATCTAGTTGTTGTGAACCTGTGAGTAGTGACGAAGTAACTGAATCTGATTCTCAACTTTGCTTTCGCGTAGACAAGGAGAAGAAATGGAAATCTCCGGGGAATCAAAGCCACAGCCACTGAACATGAAGGTGAAACCAATTGAAGCAATACCAGAGAGTTTTAAAGAATATGGGCAAGTCATAGAGGCATCACCTGATGGTGAGGGGTTTGGTCCTAAAGATGCTCAGCTAAACCTTAGCCAAGGAATTCCTAGGTAAATCGAACATATGTTACATAGTCACTTTTCTTGTTCATATATTTTGGTTTCTTTTATCTGTTGGTTTTAAGGGTCTAAGGTATTCTCGAGCCCACTTCCACTCGCTCTCCGTATGTCCGTATGATCTTGACATGACATTTGATGCATTCACGAAAAATTTCTTTCTCGCTGCGTTACCTTGGCTACAAGAGGTGACATTAATATCACCATCGATGTTGTGGTGTGAGTTATATTTCAATTTTTTTAATATGTTAATAGGTTTTACATCATGAAGCTGGAAAAAAGGCCACTGAAGTTTCCAACAATAACACACCATGCTAGTGTGACTCAGTGCCTTGGATCAATTGGAGGCGGGGACTGGTATCTTGGAGTAGCTAAGCCATCGATTGTGGAAACAAAAGAAAATGCAGGGAGTGATGTTGTGCAGTCAAAATGTGGTCATTTCTATGTGCCTCCTGCTGTTGATAAGGTCCAGGTTTTCAGAATTTCTGGGTCCAAGTTTATAAAACTTAATATTGGAACTTGGCATGCGGGGCCGTTGTTTAAGCCACAGACAATGGATTTCTACAACTTGGAATTGAGCAACACCAATGTGAGCCTTTTTCTCATTTCCGGCTATTTTTTGCACTTATCTTGTATTGGATATTCGTTTGTTTCTCATTGTTTTTGTGAGAATTGTTTGTGTTTGTGCATGCTTACTGTGTCTTCTAATCAAAGTTGAGTTGTTTTGAGTTTAGCTGTTGAAAAAATGAACCAAAATTGAATGGCCTTTTAGCCAACCTATCTGGTTTATCTACCTGGGGATAAAATGAGTCAAAATTAGATACCTCATTGGATTCTGATTATATGTGGCTGAATTATGATACAGTTTCTGTCATTGCATATATTTGCATCACCAATCATAATCTGTTTTAACAGAGCTCAACGCCGATTCTGGTTATCATAAATTTCCACAGTTGCATAATTTCTTCTTTATCTTGCAACCACCTGTAACTTTGCCGTCTTTATTTTTCTCCCCTTCTTTTTGGCTCCCTTGTCTCTTAAATGGTTGTGTCAGCGCTCAAACTGAAAAAAATGTGTTTCATTGAGGTCCACTAAAGGTAAGAGTTGAGCTTATTTATCTACTTCCTTGACGCTATTAGTTCATCTCTTTAATTTTGCTTCACAAAGTTTCCAACACAAAAAAATGAGTAGAATTTGACAATCCATTCAGTGCTTGGATTTGAAAATTTTCCCTTCAACTAAATCCATAATCTCCTGAAGGGAAGATTTGTGTTTTCTACTTCTGATATAGTGTTTTACTCTGTATAATCCTTTCTAAGTGTACCTTGCAGAATATCTTCCCATTGTTCCTTTTTACGCGTGTCAACAAATTTTGCATTTTGTTTTGTAATTACGAAATATATAGATCAAGGACATTTTGTGAGTTTAGTCTTTCTTTGCAGGTGGTGGATCACACAACACACAACTTCAAGCAGCAAGATGGTGTTGTTTTTGTTATAGATGACTAATCGAATGTGTTTCTCTTGTTATGTGTTCAACAACTGAAGTCGTTTTGAACATGGGTTATTGCGTCTCTTGTTAAAGGGGAATGTGCTAGTCCTAAAGCCTAGTGTTGGCCTTAAATGCAGCAGGAAACATGTCTCTTCAATCGAAGCTCAACTTCCATGCATCTCAGGAATTTATGCTGAAAAATCACGACAGCAGGAGGTAATTTAACGGTTTCATGAAAAGAGTTGTGAAACAGTCCGCAGGAATTCATCTTTACTATCAGCAGCCACTTTCAATATCCCCTGGAAAAATATAGTTACATTTTCCAGTCATCGAGTATGGACATTTATTTATTTACTTGACGCAGAAAGCAAACTTGAAGATTCATGCATCATCGCTAATTTCTTTACTCGCCAATCTACAAAATTTATGGTCATAAACTGACGGACAAGAACCTGCTTCTTCATCCATGTTTTTAAAACTAAAAGTAGAGCAATGATGAAGATGCACGGGCAACATTTTCAAGTGCAACTGTACAATTTGCCTCGTTAAAGAATGAATAGAGGATAAAAGAAAACCTGTTCAATTGGGGCCAATTGGGGCCAATTGAAAATTTTGCAGGTGCAGATTCAAGTTCCCACGTGCAGATGCCAATATTCATATTTGGAGAGGTTAGCCACAGAACGAGGATGAGGAAAATTTTTCATTCACTGCAGTCTGCGAATAGCTCACCCAAAATATGGGGGCAAGGATAAAATTTTTGGTCAATTACAAGGATCTTATATTGTTCAAAAACAATGATTTTACAACGATTCAAATTATGCTACCAACGCATCAAAGAGACGATCACTTCATCTAAGGAAACAACAGATGTCCAGTTGCTAACACTGAAATTTTCTTCGTGTTGCTGTCAACCCATCATCTGCAAAATTTAATGCCAATATTCCAAGGAAGAAGCATTATACTATCCGTTTGCAACAAAAAAGACATTGCAAATTCCACATAAGCATATCGTAACACTATTTTGCATATTCACACATTCGGCTGTATAAAAAATTCACCAGTGACAACATTATCTCATTGAAATGAAAGAAAGAATTGCATTTCAAGAATGTCAAGCAATTGTTTCTATCTGTTATCGCATATATACCACTTGAAGAGATCAAATTCTGTCCCAATTGATAGTAAGCCTGTGACATTTGAACTTAGCAATAACCGTGTTGTAGAATAGTAGATGCATTAGCATAAAATATTTTACCTTGAAAATATCCCCAAACATCCCTTCCAAAGGATTTCTACGTTGGACACCATAGAACAACTCTGCAATTTCATCTAGTAGCTGATCCGTGATCATGTTAAAATTTGTAGATGCAAAAAAGTCAATCACAAGCCACAGTGATCAAGAAAATAATAGCATCATAAAGAAGACCAGCAAAATAAGATGCAGAAGAGAAATAGCTAGATAAAATGTCCATTCTTGAACAAAGTGGAAACCAATAACGAGAATTCTCGTTAGCCAGAAAATTGCACACCTCGTTGAATGCAGGTTCCCTGTCTATGCTTGACTTATAATTTGTTCTCAGCATATTGAAAAGAGGTAAAGCATCTCTTTGCAACCTGTACAGGAAATAATTTATAGAACTTATTTTAACATGGATTGAACAGACATGCCAAAATGAGACTACTTTCCAGGAAAAACCAGAAGTGAAGCTGATTAAAATTGAGTAGCTACTATTCCACTTTAAGGACAGAATTCCAACCATTTACTTGCAGTGTCATCTAAGATGTCTCGAAAGTAACTCAAGATTCTTTTACTCAATTTGGGCATTAAACTCTAAGAAGTATTCGTGTACGTAAGAAAAATAAAACTTACGTTGGCAGAAGATAATTGAGGAATTGGATCAAATCTGATTGAGGAAAGTCATGCTCCTTATGTTGTGAATGCTTCTTTACCTCATCCATCAGGATATTAGCATCTCTAAGATTACCCATAGCTAAATACCTGTCAAAGAGGAGGAAAATTACCTGGTAAGTTGGAACTTCACACGGTTACAATTACATAATGGGGAAAGGATCCAGAATCGCAGGGTTATGATTGACATGTCCCATAATTTTGGCCTTAATAACAGTAAAACTGTAGGCAAATATTTTATGTTTTAGAAGTTCTTACATTAAAATTGCTCGTGCAATGGCCAGATCATCTTCACCAGGATAACACTGCATGGTAGAAAACCCATCAAAATACCAGCCAAAAAAAGTAAAGACTACCCTTTAAAGGACACAGATGAAATATTGCATCAAATTACTGGATAATGGATGTGCTATTTCTGGGTCTGTTCAGAATGTGATTAAACAACCATGACTTCTAGATAATAATTGCTAAATAATGGATTAAAAGTTAGTCGAGTAGATCTTGGTGCTAATAGATCACGCTTCATTAATCATAGATATTAAATATAACCACAAGCCATTAGCAAAAAGAAGAACTTCATCAACGTTTGTTATAAATATAAAATAACAATATCCACATGAATAATATTCATCTATGTAGAATTCAAGAAGACTAACCTTGCCCATAAAATCGACTAAAGTAGATGCAAACTTCTTCGGGTTGTTTCCTCTAACAAAATGATATGATACTCTAGTCATGTCCTGTACACAAGCAGCATATGGCGGTCACCACACCACATAGAAATGATGTATAAAATTACACCATGCATAATATGGACCTCCATTTTCCATATCACCATTTACACAGTGTATTTTAGTGAACAAAACATCAGGATAACTTCAAAGGCATAACGAAAATTCAGTAACCAGAAAAAAGAAAGTCCCCTGGAGCTGCCGAAGCAAGTTAGAGCTAAATACAGCCATCCAGAATCAAATGAATTGGAAACAAGATGTCATTGCTAAAATGATTGTAAGAACCTAAAAGAAACAGCATCTTCTCTGAGTGAGCCAAAGATAAATAATCCAACGAAGAGCCAACCTCGCTAGCGATTATTTACAAACAAATCAATCCAACCAAAAGCTATTGCAAACTTTGACCTCAGACATACCAGCTCAGGAGATTCAGAATAAACATATTCAGCTAGCATAACATGTAGTTCTGGAGAGCCATTCCTATGAGCTCCAAACTCTGCAGACCACCTAAAAACCAAATAGCTCAACATCAGTGAGGCAGTTAATTGCGGTGCCACAGGAAACAATCAAAGATATGTGATACATACATGTGTAGGCACACACATAAACACATCTTTCATCTCATAGGCAGATATACACGGGTACATCTTTTTTGTTTTAATCCATCACAGATTCCCAGCCCTTTCTCATGATACTCTCTGTCTCATACTCTTATTTACTCACATATTATTTGCCCCCTGTCAAGTCTTCCCATGTTTTTGTCTCTCTCTGTGTGACGACTGGGAAACTTAAATGCTCTAAATACCCTCATATACACATGCTCCACAATAACAACAGTTTCCCCAGCCCAACAAATAAAACCATCCCCAGATGGCCCACAATAGACGGGACCTATACATGAATTTGAAAAAGAAATCGTGGGTTTTGGCACCAATAAAACTAGAGAAATCAGATAGAGAGACCTATTTACTATATACACCCTCATACAACCAACAAGGGGACTCTACAGTCCAATCTAAAAACTACAGGTGAGATAAAGGAGGCAAAGCACAATCTTAAAATATTCCACAAAAGCACATGTATTATACATAAAAGCAAGTTACAATTTCCAAAAAAGTTCAAAAAAAAAAAAAAAAAAGACAGGACATCTCACTTGATAGCAGCTTTTAGGAATGACATGCAGCACTCTACACGTGTTTTTGCAGCCCCAAGGGCTTCATTGAGTTGTTGTAGATCATCATCCTCCCCCAAGTCTTGTGGCAAAGGTATCTGAGGAAACTTCTTGTAGATTTTTCTGATGCCATCTAAGATAGATATTCGGTCATAATTAATAATGAAGACATTGTTAAAAAATTGAAGTAGGCAGCAGCATGGCTATACAAAAATGTGAGACAATAACCATCGAAAATCAAAGAACACACTCTCTCTAAGTTTTTTTCAATATCCAACGAAGGCCCTAAAATTTCAGTTACCAGGACATATCAAGGGAGATTTTTTTTTCTTTTTTTCCTTTTTTGGACATTGCAACAAGGGAGAAATAGAATCCAGCAATCTATAACAATGAATGAACTAACCAAGTACATCATCATCATAAGGAACTTTTGCTTTAACAAGCGTCTCCACATAGATCACAGCAAGCTCCGACCCACAAGTAACCTGAAATTGGTTAATTATGGAATGAATTCTAATTGTAGAAGTACGAGAATAGTCTAGAATCCAGCAATGTATTCCATCATGTACAATTAGTAATCCTTTGATTTCCTGCCATTCTATGTACACATTATGCAGATATCCATCTCAGAAACCAACACAAAAAGGTAAATAATCTAGTAAATGGAATGATGTCACATGGAAAAACCATGACCTGACCTGTTCCATTGTAGAAGATTGCTTTTCAGGTAAAGCAAATCCAAAGCTAGCATACCTAATCCCGCTTCAGTTGGACCATTACATCAAATATGCAGATTTGTATCTCAACTTAGAGGAAGCTATGCATTTGTATGCCCATGTATTTGAAAGCAAGAACATGATAGTTTTCAAAATTGACAGATGATGCAATTGGTAGCAGTCAGCTGTTTTGATGTGCTTCCTCCATTCCAATACCCCACTACCTATCCACCCTTGGCATCAATCCATTTTAATTAGCAGAGCTCTAATGAAGGTTCCTACCATATTGGGATTTATCATTTATATTCTCATACTCATCCTGCAACCAGTCGGGCACAGCACAAACCAATCATCAGCTTATGGAGAGAGCTCGGATATGCCAGCATCTAGCTGAAACATTTTTCTTTAACACGCCAAATTTCATATTCCCGTTGGCTTCTACGTTACAATATTATTATACAAAATTGCCAAAAAAAAAAAAAATAAATAAAAACTGACAGAATTAGCAACAACGGACTGGAAAGAGAATAACCTGGCCCTTTTTCAGTTGGAGGCATGCACCCGAGTGAAGAATGTCCAAAGCTTCAGAATGTCTTTGAGCAGATGCATATCTGTGACAAAGTAAGTTTCAATATCATAACAAAGAATGACCTCAGAAGAAAACATATGTGAATCTGCCCCGATTGTGTACCATAAGAAAATCACCTTTATGTTAACCTCCAGCTAGACTAGTAAACACCAATGCCATTGGTTGTGCAAACATCACTAAAACAAGATTAACTTGAAAAAAAAAATAACAATAAAATTAATACCTTGCACTGATAGACTTGTACATCTGTTGAGCTCCGTAGTAATTACCCTCATTTATCATATTCTCCAATTTCTCAATAGTCTACAATTTACACCAAATACATAATTTAAAGCAATTAGAAACCTCTTACTTCTTCCTTACAGAAAAAGCAAACAAAATCTACATCAAATGTTAAAAAATCACAAGCTTTACACTTTTATTTTTTTATCTAATTTTCATAGCTGAAATCTAATTTGATAATCTTGAATCAAAATATAATCCTTCCCATTATCAACCTCCACTTTCAACAAAATATATAAATACAGCCCATCAAAACAGCACAATTACGAACCCATTTTTCTCTGCATCCAAACATGAGTTCAAAAGGTTAGTTTCGTAATTCAATTACCTCTTCAGCAGGAGGCAAAGTAGCCCTCCTTGGTCTTTCTCGCGACATGTCGTCTCCGTCCTCTTCTTCACATACACGGAGATCCAAATTAGAGTACGTTGTTGTAGAAGAAGAAAGAAACTTTCTTTAAGAAACTGTAAAAGGATCGTTTTGGTCCATGTTGGGCCTTCCTTGGGCACAGAAATGGGCTATAACATTTGAGCCCTAAGGCCCAACAAGAAAACCCTTTGAGATGAATCTCCCCTATCTCCCCCTTAATCTTTTCTTGTCAATTCCTAGACTTTCTCCGTAACCGACCAGAGATTCAAGATTTGATTTTTTGTGGAAATGAGTTCCAAAACATTACAAGCTTCAAAGGTATATAGGGATCTTCTCAAATCTGTCAACAAACACATAGGCAAAGAAGGCTACAAGAAGCATTTTGGAGATTATATAACACAAGAGTTTAGAAAGAACTGCAATGTTTTAGACCAATCTTCTGTTCAGCAAAAACTCAAGATTGCTCGTGATTACACTTTCTTACTTAACAGCGTGCAGCATCACAAGGTAATTAAAATGTTTATTGGCATCTAAAGTTTTGATCTTTTCGAATATTGTGTGTTAACCTTTTGTCTTTAACCTGCTTAAGGGTGAATATGATTTGGTTTTTGGCTCAAGATTGATGGTAATTTATTGTAATTTTTTTTTTTTTTTGACATCTTCGAATGAGGGGCAGAACCCAATTGTTAGTTTTGTTAATATTTTACTTTTTCTGGTTACTGCTGCCTAGCTTATTGAGTAAAGTCACTAAGTTTGAGATATCAAATCTTGCGCATACTGGCAAAAAGGTATTACATAAACCTTGTCCATGTGAAACATCGTACCCAGGACCAAGTTAATTTATAATTTCCCCGTACTTAGGACTAGAGGAATTCAGGAATGAGAAGGGCTACCCCTTGTAATGTAACTTAATGCTTGATAGTTCTTCCAATGAAATGAAAAGACAGTTGTTCTTGTAGGAATGTTCTTCATTCTTTTGGTATGTGGGTAATATTTTCGCAGAAAGTTTTGCTAAAGACAAGGCTGGTGGTGGCTATTGTTTTTACAGGAGTTGCTGTTCTCTTACAACATTGCTGTGGATAGATCGGATGAAATGCGAAAAATACTAGGAAAATCTGCTGCAAGTGTTGGTCTTCAGCTTCCCGAGGCTTGTCAGTCCTGATGGTCAGTTGGCTTCTGCGCTTCGTCAAAATCGTACTCTAGAATACTTATGGCTCCATTGTGCCTCAAAAATGAGGGAATTTAGTTAAAGCATATTTGTTCAAGCATAGGTTGTGATTAATTTTTTGTTTGTTTTGGAAGAAAATTAGTTCAAAAAACATTGATTGAGCCATCTGTTTGGCATGTTTCCTTGTTTCTTTTCGTATGGAGAGAATCTGTTAGCTGCTTTTCTGAATTTTTCCTTTGTGATTCGAACCAAGCTGTTCCCAGATGTATGCTATAATGCGTTGTCTAATGCTTGCAGAGTCATCAATGGCACATCTCGTGTTTTAGGAGTACGTATATTTTAAATTTCCATTACTTAGCAACCCATCTTTCACTGTTTTTTTATTTTTTTCTCCCTTCAAACCTCAGCAACCGTTTGGGCCAAATATGCTGTCAGGTGTTGCAAAACAGCCAATCCGGATGTGCAGTAGCTTATTACTTGGATGAAGACTGACTCTAGCTGGTGTGATATAGCCGTATGACATTGGCTGGCATTAATCTGTATTAAGATTCATGAGCTACATGCTTGATAATAAAAAATGTCATTTGAATCAATCATATGAAAATAAATGCCTAGCTAGAAACATTAATTATGTGAATCAGTGAAGACATTAGCTGGTTATTGACATAATATTTCAACAAAAGCAGGGATAATTTAGCGATTGGATATCCTATAGCGTTCTTTAATGAATCGTGTTCGATTCTTAATTCTTGTTTATTATGTATGGAAGAGAAGGCTACTCCTTACATAATAGTTCCAAGCCCAATGTGAGTCCCTGACTAAAGTAGTCCAAGTTCAAGACCTAACTGGAGTCTCCTCATATTCTGCAAATAATCAAACAAAATTAAGTGCCTGCATACTAGAATACAGTAAAGAAATCCTGCTTTTCAAGAGATTACGAATGCGATAGTTTGCAAATCCTGTTTGTTACAGAATGAGTGGTGCCCTCCTCTTTCCCTGAAAATGTTTGGTGGCAGGCACAAGTTCAAGATGCAGAGAATTAATGAAATGCGGTGCCCTCGTTCCCTGTTGAAAATGCAGCTCTCCGACCGCTAGACAAAAATCTTGATCATGTCAAAAGGGACTGATCATGTGGTAGGCTGCTCATAACATGAAATCGACTTTATGCTAGCACTGTACTATTAGCTACCCTTCATGAAGTTTTGCCAGAATGATTTTGAAAATAATTGTTTCGATGTTCAACATCAAACTAAACAACAACCTCTACGATTCTTAGGGACAAGGTACATGCAGTTAACAAGAAATCAAAAAAATATTTATAATATTTTGACATATACTAGCATATATCTTGTGCGTCGATGCGGAGTGAGTTATACAACATTCTTATGTATTCATGCATATAAAATATAAAATTTTAAAATAATTATTTAAAAGAATCACGTGAAAAAAATTTAAAAAAAAAATAAATCAAAAAATATATCTCATATTTTGTTGCGAGGCTTAGCTAAACAAAAAGTCCGTAAAATGGAGTAATATACTTGTAAAGTCAAGGTCATAAAAAAATGGTCAAAATAAATTAAAAAAAAAACTCACTAAAAGCAAAAAAAAAAAACCTTATAAACCATAAGACTAAAAAAAATTCGTTATGCATAAAACATGAACAAAAGTAAAAAATGATAGAATTTAATTTTACTAAAGCTGAAAATGTTTTTTACTAAAGAAAAAAAAACTTAGAATAGTGAAACTCGTATTTAATTTAGTGTAGAAAGAAAAATAATCAAATATAATAAAAATTTAATGATCAAAATAAAAGAAAGATCATAAAATAAAAATCAAAAAACAACAAAAAGTTTTACTAAAAGTAAAAAAATAATTCCTTGTATGAAAAAAAATCAAATATAATAAAAATTTAATGATCAAAATAAAAAACAATTACAAAACAGGAACTAAAACAAAAATAAAATTTTACTAGATTTAATGGTCAAAACAAAGCAAAAATCACAAAAAAGAAATTATAATAGGAAAAAAGGTTTCACTAAAAGCAAATAAAAAAAAAAGCTTAGGATAGTGAAACTTTATTAAGTTTTAGGATAGTAAGGATAAAACTCAAACATGATAAAACTTTAATAACTAAAATAAAATTATATCACAAAATTGGAACAAAAGAAGGACATAAATTCTTACTCAAAGCCAAGAAAAAAATATTTATTATAGAGACAAAAATCAAATATAATAAAATTGTAATGATCAAAATAAAAAAAAAGTTATAAAACAGGAATTAAAATAAAAATAAAATTCACCGAAGCCAAAAGAGGGAATGTAGCAAAAAAACAACGTGACCAAAATAAAAAAAGTTACAAAACATAGACTAAAATGAAAATAAAATTCATTAAAAGCCAAAAGAGGGAATGTAGCAAAAAAAAAAAAAAAGTGACCAAAATAAAAAAACAATTCCAAAATTACTAATAAACTAAAATGCATTATGGTTTTACTGTTTGAATGAACGAGTAACCATCACTGCGATGCTTGTTCATTTGAACAGCCTTTTTTTTTTTTAACCCTTAACTATACTACTCAACCTTAGTTTTTCTTTTCCTTCTTTTTTTAATTTTTCACTCTTACTTATTTTCTTAATTTTTTAAAATTATTTCATTTATATATTTTTTTATTTTCACCCTTAGTTTTTTTTCCTTAGGTTTTTTTTTTTTTACATCTTCAAATTATTTCGTTTTGATGTCTAAAATTTTAAAATAAAAATTTTAATCCCTAGATGATGCACTATATGTCTTTTTGGTTTCCCATCAATTTATGTTCTTTTTTTTATTTGATTGAATGTTAAAATTTTTAAAAATCGATCGTTATTTTTTTCTCACGTAGGCCGATGATTTACTTTACCCTCACACTATATTACTCAATCTTAGTTTTTTTTTTCTTTTTTTTTTTAAATTTCACTATTACTTTTTTCTTCTTTTTTTTAAAAAAAACAAAATTTACTCTTATTGTTTAAAATTTATTTCTTCAATTATTTGTTTCTTATTAAAATTCTAATCAAATTAATTTTTTGATATAGTTTTATTTGTTAATAAATTTGGTTTTCTAATATATGAATTTTAGAATAAAATTTTAGAACGTCGATGTTTTTTTAAATATATTATTATAATTTATAAATTCTGATTATATATATATATATATATATATATATATATATATATATATATATATGAGAGAGAGAGAGAGAGAGAGAGAGAGAGAGAGAGAGAGAGCTAAAAATATATTTTAAATAGTTTGACTTAATGTTTTTTAAAAAATTAATAATCGATTAAAAAAGTCATAAGTTTTATTTGTTATTTTATATATATTTATTCGAAATTTATTACAATCAATTTTATTATAATTTTTTATTTTAATCTATTGACTTTAATATATTTCATAAAATTTAGCGAGCCTAGTCTTTTTTTTCTTTATACATATATATTATCATGAAATTAGGTGCGAAAAATATAGAAAATAAATCTTTATTTTTTTTAGTTTTACAAATGTGACAAAAATAAAAAAAAGTTACAAAACATAGACTAAAATGAAAATAAAATTCATTAAAAGCCAAAAGAGGGAATGTACCAAAAAAAAAAAAGTGACCAAAATAAAAAAAAAGGTTACAAAATTACTTATAACCTAAAATGCGTTGTGGTTTTACTCGTTCGAATGAATAGTAACCATCATGCGATACTCGTTCACTTGAACGGTCTTTTTTTTTTTTAACCCTTAACTATACTACTCAACCTTAGTTTTTCTTTCCCTTCTTTTTTAATATTTCACTCTTACTTATTTTCTTAATATTTTTAAATTATTTCATTTATATTTTTATTTTATTTTCACCATTAGTTTTTTTTTCCTTAGGTTTTTTTTTTAATTTTCAAATTATTTCGTTTTGATATCTAAATTTTTTTAAAAAAATTTTAATCCCTAGATGATGCACTATATGTCTTTTTATTTTCTCTCATCAATTTATGTTCTTTTTTTTTTAATTTGATTGAATATTAAAAATTTTAAAAATCAATCGTTATTTTTTTTTTCACATAGGTCGGTGATTTACTTTACCCTCACACTATACCACTCAATTTTAGTTTTTTTCCTTTTTGAAAAAATTTTCACTATTACTTTTTTCTTTTTTTAAAAAAAAAATTTTTTTACTCTTATTGTTTAAAATTTTTTTCTTCAATTATTTGTTTCTTATTAAAATTCTAATAAAATTAATTTTTTGATATAGTTTTATTTGTTAATGAATTTGGTTTTCTAATATATGAATTTTAGAATAAAATTTTAGAATGTCGACGTTGTTTTAAATATATTATTATAATTTATATAATAATTTATTTTTATGCTTTTAAAATGAGTGTTTTATTCTTTAAAATATATTATTATAATTTATAAATTCGATATTATATATATATATATATATATATATATATATATATATATATATATATATATATCTAGAGAGAGAGAGAGAGAGAGAGAGAGAGAGAGAGCTAAAAGTATATTTTAAATAGCTTGACTTAATGTTTTTTAAAAAATTAATAATCGATTAAAAAAGTCATAAGTTTTATTTGTTATTTTATATATATTTATTCGGCATTTATTACAATCAATTTTATTATAGTTTTTTTATTTTAATCTATTGAATTTAATATATTTCATACAATTTAGCGAGCCCGGTCTTTGTTTTCTTTATATATATATATTATGAAATTAGGTGCAAAAAATATAGAAAATAAATCATTATTTTTTTTAGTTTGACATACAGTTTGAAGATGATAGAATATATATAATAATTTTTAAGATTTTAGTTTGAGCATATATATCTGATTATATTACTTTTATTGTTTAAAATTTATTTCTTTAATTATTTATTTCTTATTAAAATTCTAATCAAATTAATTTTTTGGCATATTTTTATTTTTTTAATAAATTTGGTTTTCTAATATATAAATTTT